AGGAAAAACCTTTAATCGGTCGATCTCCTTGTGTTTTAGCACCCCCACCGACATACGCACATCATTATTATTCTTTCCAATTGTAATTCCGACGTTATTTAAACTAGAACAAATACGAGTACCAGAAAAAGAAAGAAATGATTTATTGCAAGGTGTACCTATTGGTGAGTCCAGATTACGCTCCGCCTGACGCCGCATCGCCTTCGTGAGAGAGTTCTCGTCCGTGATCGAGGACCCGTCAGCAAAGGAGAAGTGATGGTCGCTACGCCGGATGGGAGTAATCTTCACATTGGTCGGAGTAGAATGGCGCGTCGGTGGCGGCGTTGGAGCAGACCGAGGCGATCCCAACGGTGCAGCAGTCCCAGGCCCCGGTGGTACATCAGATCTCCTTGCTGTGCCTCATGGCTGGACCGAGTTGAACCGCAGCAGCCAGAGGACAGAGAGGCGCGCTCTGTTGCGTTGTCGACGACACATGAGTAGGCGTAACCTTGGTCTGGGCAGGCATAGGCTGAACTGGGCGTCCATCGATAGTGACAGGTGAAGTACCCAGTTCAGCGACAGCGGCTACCTGCAGCTTCGGTTGGCCAGAGCCACACAACTCCACAAGTGAGCACATGCTAGCTGATGCATCCATGCAAGGAACCGTACGTATGCATGTCTCTGCCCCTTTGCCTGTAGTTGCACCCATCAATCCATGCACGTTCACGGCAGGCACCTGCGGTGCCATAAGCACAGGTAACGCCCGCTGTTGCTGAACCTGGTGCGGTGTACGTTCCGTCGGAGGCACAATTGAGCCTAAGTTGACAGATGTTGAGACCGGAGGCGGCACCGGCAATAACGACGGCGAAGTGTAACCTGCAACAAACTCGCCGTCCATGTTCGAGGATCCTGTAGTATGCGGCAGCTCGGACAACGGCGCGGCGAGGGATGCAGTCATCATAGGTACTGGAGTGCTCGAACTCGAGGTTGGAGGCGGATTCACACCCCCTGAGCTAACTTTCTTTGCTTTCTTGCTAGCATCATCCCCATTAAATTCATCATCCGTTCATGACCTTTGTCTGAGCTATCATCATGTTTCTTCCAGATTCGAGGTATAAAATCCGCATCCGGAATATAGTCTTCCTTTTCAACCTCATAGCAAAAGTTATACCCATCCAGCTTGACAAACGCTTCCGCAGTCGTAGAATCCCCTCCCAAGTTATTATTGTGGGTGAAAATATCCAAAGAGCGAACCGCAACCTGAATGCGAATGATACCATGACGACGCAAGGCATACAGGTCAACATCTTGAGTGGCTCCGATGACCGATCCAACAGCCCAAAGTCCGAGAAAGTGTCGTAGCGAGTGAGGAACGCCGTAAACATGGAACCCATACAGTCTCTAGAGAAACATAAGATGGGACATCTTCAACTTTCCATTCTTTGAAAGAAATCTCAACGCCGTGCGACTTGACTCGAACCTCTAGGTCAGCCATTCGGTGGAGATCGTCAAAGGAGGGGAATGACACCAAAAAGGCGTCCTTGCCATGCGGAATAGCCTCCCACTTCCATTGAGTCTGGGTCCGAACGATTCTAGCAATCTCAGCTTCAAGCACTGCTGCAGGTAGCTCCCCGCCGGAGACCGAGACCAAGGCAGTTGGCGACGCCGATGGAGAAGTGTCCACGTCTTTGCACACATGCTCTGGGATCTGAATGAACATGGTAGCATTAGAACCCTGTCCACAAAACGATGCAGAGGGCCGGGTCTGCTTCAGAACGGGACAACGGAATAGAGCGTGCTTGAAATTGTTGCAGATGTAGCAATAGTGCACCACAGAACAGTCCTTGGACAGATGATCATTGGACCGGCATTTGAAACAGTACATCTTTTCTTTCTTAGCTTTCGGCACATTGACACCAGCCCCCTCCTGTTGAGCGGCAACCGTGCTGCCGGAATCGGTCATGGGCGGCATGCCATGGGAGACTGCGAAGTTCGCATTAACGGTGGGCGCCTGAAGTGTTGGCCCTCCAGGAACATCAGGCTGACGCCCCTTCTTCTTCTTCCTCTTATTATTTCCTCCTGTGTTTGACAGACCTGTACCAAAGGCGAACCCCTGCCCGCTCATATTCGTAGGAGCAAGCTGAAAGGGGCCCGAGCCTAGGCAGTGGGCTTGTTGAACAACTGCATTGACCGGGCCAGTTGGGAAGGGCTGCTGCCTGGCCGGAGCGCCAAACCTAGGAGGTCCAGCGGCCGGACCAAACCCGGCTAAAGGTGTACCAGTCTGATCTGTCGGAGCAGACGAGGTCGAGGCGCCGATGGAGTTCGGCGTTGCTGATGCAGTGGAGGCAAGCCCAGACCTCGGAGGGAGCGGCGGCACCCCAGCCATTGGAGACGACGGGGAGATGCGCAGTGCGTCGGCGTAGGAACAGTGCGAGATAGACGCAGGCGAGACGAACGAGCGATTAGGTCTATTGTTTAAGGCCAATGGGCACTTAAATGTAGAGGGCTACTGTGATGCTGATTGGGCTAGTTGCATTGATGCCAGAAGGTCAACATTTGGCTTTTGTGTCTTTGTTGGAGTAAACCTTCGAGGAGGATGAAGCAGCCGGTGGTCTCCTGATCTACAACTGAAGCAGAATATAGAGCAATGTCTTTTTGTTTGTGCGAGATGCTGTGGATGAAAGGCCTCATATCAGAGTTAAAGGCTACTAAGGAGAGGACCACTGAAGCTCGGGTGTGATAACAAGTCAGCAATCAACATCGCAAATTATCTAGTTTGGCATGACCGAACAAAGCATGTGTAGATCGTTTTTTTCATAAAAGAGAGGCTTGACGAGGGAACACTGAAGCTAATCCATGTTACTTCCGTGGAAAAATAGCTGATTGCATATTGAAGGGGTCAGGAACAAAAGAGTGTTTGTCAGCATGTGACAAGACGTGGATTATAGATATCTATCGTCCATCTTGAGGTGTGCGTGTGTGTGTGCGGCCCATATACACTAGGGGGAATATCAGGTGCTCCAGCGTCGTAGGTGATACGAGCTTCCGGGTCATCGGATCCCAGATCCAGCGACATCTGAGGGGCTACTACACTTGCACGCGATTCTCAGACTTTTGAAGGGCTTTTTTGAGAAATGTTCAGAGTCCCCTAGGTGCATTCGGATCTGAGATCCAATGGCTTCCGATAGCTCGTATCACCGGAGCATCTAAGGGTGTGTTTGGTTGAGGAACGAAGTGGAATGGAATGTCATGGTTCCATTCCATTAGAATGGGTTGGTTCCGTCCATGTGTTTGGTTGAGAACAATATGTGGAATGGAATGGTGACATTTCGATGTTTGGTTGGAGAGATGAAATGGAATGGATTGTATTCTTCTCACCCCTTGTAAATTAATATATGAACATATAACATCAAAGATATGAACAACTATCTCCTCTTGCACCAAACCATATGATCAAGATCATACATTCACAGTCCAAACAAGAATGAAAAATATAAGAAAGATATAGAAAGAAAAAGATATGCACATGATCATGCCACGGTCAAGGTCCTCAATGGCTAAGGCTAATAAATCAGTTGGTTCGTTGCCATTGGCGATCTGACTGCCACCATCTCCTCTGCCTTACCTCCATGTTAGCGTCATATGGAAGGAAGAAACTGAAATTGCTCCTGATAGTCCTCGCCGACCAACACACACCTGGCTGCTACTCAGCTACAAAATCGATCGGTACTCTTCCCTGCTCCTCGATCCTGGTCGCACCCTCTCACCAGCAGGTCAGACTACCACCGGCCCCCAGATTAGTTCACCGCCGCGACCTCCGAAGGCCTGGTCCCTGCCGCCGCCGGATTAGCCTCTTCCCAGCCGCCCATCTTCAAGACCCCTGCTCCGCCGCCCCTCGTCCATCGTGCCGCAGTCTAGAGAGGAGGAGATGAGGAAGAGGAGGAGCGCGGCGCGGATCGAGGGAGAGGAGCAGCCGGCGGCGAGGATCGAGGGAGCATAGCAGATGCCGGCGCGGATCGAGGCAGAGGAGTCGCGATAGGCTTTCGGGGGAGCGAGAGGAAAGACGAGAGAGACGACCGGTTCCGCGTGATTCCTCCGATTTGGAGGTCTCACCGCGTTCCGGATATTGGGCGAATATTCCCTAGGTGGGAACAGATGATTGAACCAAACGCAGGAACGAGGCTCTGGGGCAGGTCCGACCCATGCTGTTCCACTTCGTGATAGGAACCAAACACACCCTAAGGCGCTGGAGCACCTGATCTCTCCCTATACACTAGTATGTATAGCAATAGAAGAGTAGAGAAGGTTGATTGATTCCAGATAGTTCTTGACCGAGAACATTCATGTCATAACTTTTAACGGGCTTGAGAATCAATATAATCTGACAAGTTTGTTATTCCTTCTGTTCATGATCAAAATATGTCCATAAGAAACTCTGGCAAAGATATAAAGCTAACTAGACTTGAGCTTTGAAGAAGTTGGGCTCATCTGTTGGCTCAATGTTGGCGGACATGCAAATAACTGACTGGCTCAATGTTGGCTGCTCAGTTAGGTCACACCTAGTTCGTTCCAAATTTTCTGCATAAATAGTAGGGCGGACATGCAAATGTGTATGGATGCAGGAAGCTATTAGTTGTGACCACTGGAATAATGATGAGAAGAGAAGCACAATGCAACTGTCATTTGGTGTGGTACTGCCATCAGAGCAAGAAGGCTAAGAGATAACAGCGAATTGACATGGTGAATATATCAGTTGAAAACTAAATTTAGGAAGCATGTATTTACTATTCTGAAGTTTTGTTCAATGGGCAATTGCGAATCTTCTAGGTTTGAAACAAATGTATTTTGGTAATTGCTATGCATAAATTAGAAGAAATGAGTCCGTTTCCAAATTCGTGATTGTTAAACTGATGAAGGAAAATGTATTTTTAGCTCTTAGTTGGAACTTCCTATTTTCCATATATGTACTGCTCGAGCTTGAATATGCTTTGGCACAATCATCTGTTTTGCGGTCTCTGCAGGTATATGCTTGGGGAAGAGGAGAACATGGGAGGCTCGGCTTTGGGGATGATAAGAGCAGTCACATGGTGCCGCTAAAGGTTCAGCTTCTAGCTGGCGAGGATATTGTTCAGGTAGTTTAACATGGGCCTGAAATGTTGTATTGAATTTCTTGATTGTCTGTCGCCTATAAGCGTCTGACTGAGGTTTGTTTCCAAGTTCAGCACCAGGGTTCACTCTTCTAAATGCTTGCAGGTATCATGTGGAGGGACCCATTCAGTTGTGCTAACCAGTGATGGCCGAATGTTCTCTGTAAGTAGAAAATTTGGAGTTGCTTACATGCACTACTTGTAAATATCTTTTTGGATATGTCAGCTAGAATAAGCAACTTTTGGAGGTGTTAGCTATGCAGATAAAATAAATTAAACATAGTTTTAAAGCTATTTTGGGTTTACCAGAACTAGGACAGACAAAATATGGTTTCGCACGAAGATAATGCATTGTTATTAATTGATATTGTTTCACTGACCATTGTAACCAGTCGAAATGGGTACCTCTATTATAGGCATTGCACGAAGATAATGCATTGCAGCTCTTAGGTGCCACACACCCCTATATGAGTACAGCATTAAGAAAAAATATCAGAAAATTTCAAAAAATTCTGAAATTTTGGGATATCAAACCTGGGTGCCCGTTGTACACCCGTATTCTGTTTCGTGGAGAATGGGTGCCCGTGGTAGTATCCGTGGCGAAGGAAATACGGTCTATTCCCTACGAAACTGAATACGGGTGTACAATGGGCACCCAGGTTTAATATTCCAAAATTTCAGAATTTTTTGAAATTTCGTGATATATTTTTTAATGCTATGAGAGCCACAAATCCTCCTCGTACGAATCGGCTATCTGTGCTAGTAATATGAATTGCTTGAAGAATTTTCATATTCTCAGGGTCATAGATATGCTTTGAAAACATCATGATTCATGTGATATCCAGAGGCCGGGGATAATCCTCCTTTTCGGAAAAAGTTGTATAATTATCACCCGTGTCACAAGTTAGTACTGCTTAGGTTAGGTACTACTCCCTCCTTAAACTAATATAAGAGTGTTTGTAATCTAAACGCTCTTATATTAGTTTACGGAGGGAGTAAAGAGCAAAACGTGTATGTTTTAAAAAATATTTTCTTTACCATGTTTGTTAGAAACCCCACTGTTTTCTTTAGCTTCGAAAGGTCATATTGCTGACAATGCCAATAATGTTTGCTGATAAGCCCTCCTCTTGTACGAACATTTGAATAGTACTCCGTCCGTCCCATAATATAAGAACGTTTTTGACACTACGCTAGTGTAAAAATCGTTGTTATATTATGAGACAGAGGGAGTACATTACTGTCTGTAACCAGTGGATTTCTTTATTAATGAGCTTTATTTATGCTCATCCTTTTTCCCTTTCTTTGTTTGCAGTATGGGAGGGGCGATCATGGCCGTCTAGGCGACGGTAGGAAGGTGACTACGGGTCACCCAATGGAAGTGCCCATAAACTTGCCGCCACCAAAGACCAGCACCAGCTCCGAAGGGCTATGGCAAGCGAACTACGTTGCCTGTGGCGGACGACACACACTCGCCATCGTGACATGGACCGATATGTAACAGGGCATGATCACTTGAGTGTATGAATTGAAATTGTGGTAACAGTAATGGAGAATAAGAAGTAGGAAGTTGTGCACTTCAGGCTTCAATTGAATGTTCCGATTAACAAATTCTGTGCCGACTTACCAATGTTGTTTTCTCCTTTGCATGTCAACGCAGCTATCTTGAGTCGGTTCGAATTGCAAAGATTCTATAATGCTAAATGTTATCTAGCTATAACACGGATTAAGTATGTGAACCCAATCTTGTGTTTACAACAATCTCTCCCTAATCTTCTTTCCCTATAATAATAATAATAATAATAATAATAATAATAATAATCTCTTCCTAATAATAAATCACGGATTGACTTCATGGGTTCACCGTCACAATACGCTTCTCGTGAATTTACGCTTTCAGTTTTTTTAACACGTCCATATTTTTTCCAAAATTCAAGGTGGTACTAATCTATCTATTTCTTGCCCATGGACTGTCTCACCCGTGACGTTTTCTTGCCCAAGGACCGTCTCATCGCACTGGTGGAATTCGTCACGTTTCATAGTCCTCCATCGAGTATGATTCCTTTCTTCAAATCAAACCTTCAATCTATATGTATGCTCCGGGCCAGGGGCTGCTCAAGGCCATGATCAAGGAAGACGATGAGGAGGACAAGCAACTTGGGGAGGAGAGGGTGGAAGGATGGCTACGGGAGTCGCCACAGACGACGAGTCAGCGGGAGGAACGCGATTAGCAGAGAGGGCGCGTGCTGCCTAGGTGGTGGAGGAGGCGGAGAAGCGCCGAACCTGAGGCGGGTCATCTCGGCGAGCATCTTGCCGAGCAGGTCCGCGACGGGGAACAGTTGGCCACCGGCACCGGAGGCACGGCTAGCAGCCACACAGTGTGCCGATGGCCAGCAGGCGCCTGTGCGCTCGGCGTGATGGTGTCAGGTAGATTGGTTTGGAGTCAGATAAGTTCTGGAAAGAGTGCCGCTTTCTCATAGATGCAACGCCTGGTTCTCCAGCAACGTGATCGAGTTGCAGGACAGTCATCTTCTCCAGCGTCATGGCCGATGGCTGCCGCACCGGCTACCATTAGTGATGCCCGACGCGTACGTGGCCTTCTAGATCGGAGGCGGAGACTGCTGATAGTGTTAGAGTTTGAGTAGTATACATGTAATCTGAAACTACCTCTCTCTTTCTCTCCCGTATCCTCTTCTATCTCCTTGTAATAGCAGGATTCCTAATCCTTCTTCCTGTACTCCACGGCAAGATTTTGCCCCAATAAATAAACAGCTGCGGCTCCCTTACGAGGGAGTAGGAACGCTTTCGCCAATCTAATATGGTATCAGAGCCTAGTCTCTTCCCACATCTAGCGATCCCCTCATCTAGCGAAACAGAAACCAAGTTATCGTCAGAAACCCAATCGCCATGGCAGGTTCCAGCAGCGTCGCCCTCAACCTCGGAGCGCCACCAACAGAAAAGCTCACGAGGGGAAATTTCCTTCTCTGGAAAGCGCAGGTAATGCCAGCGTTGCGAGGCGCACAAGTAACCGGCCTCCTCGACGGCTCAGATGCCGCACCGCCAAGAACGGTGGAGGTCGCGAAGGCAGACAAGACCACGGAGATTCAGCCAAATCCTTTATATGGACTGTGGCTGGCAAAAGATCAACAGGTTCTGAGCTACCTGTTAAACTCGCTAACTCCTGAAATCCTGGCGCAGGTCATTGGTAAGGAGAGTACTCATGATCTATGGATTGCTCTTACCACACTATTTGCTGCGCAGTCCCAATCCCGGATAACAAATCTGAGAATTGCCATCTCCAACACTAAGAAGGGCAATATGTCAAGCAACTCCTTCATCACCAAGATGAAGAGTCTCGGAGATGAGCTCGCAGCCGCAGGCCGTCCAGTAACCGATGGCGAGATGGTCGACTACATCCTCGCCGGCCTTGATCGGGACTACGATCCTATCGTTGCAGCGGTCGGCGCCATCAAAAACTCAATCACAGTTGATGATCTTTTCTCACAGATTTCAGCCTTCGATCAGAGGATGGAGATGTTGGGCGATGGACCATCAAGTTTCCGTTCGTCTGCAAACGCCATATACAGAGGGCGTGGCCAGTACCGCAACAGAGGAGGCCGTGGACGAGGGAACAGAGGGCGCGGCCGTGGCGATCGCGCCTCTCCTTCTCCTTCTCGCGGCGGTGGAGGCGCCGGTTACCAGCAACGCCAGGGCTACCAGCAACGCCAGGGCTACCAGCAACGCCAACAACAACCTCCACAACAACAGCAGCAGCAACATGATGGGGACTATCCAGAGTGCCAGATTTGCTATAAATTTCATCCTGGAGGTGCAAGGGCCTGCTGGCATCGGTATGATGATGATCATGAAGAGAAGAAGAAGGCCAACCTCATCACCAACTCCTACGGGATTGATACAAATTGGTACGCAGATTCTGGAGCTACCGAGCACATAACAGGGGAGCTCGACAAATTGACAATGAGAGAAAGGTATCATGGAGGTGACCAAATTCATACGGCAAGTGGATCAGGTATGGAAATTTATCATATTGGTAACTCAATTGTTAAAACCCCCAAGAAAGATTTGCATCTTAATAATGTCTTACATGTCCCTCATGCATCAAAAAATCTTGTTTCAGTTCATCGGTTTACTCTTGATAACCAAGTTCTCATAATATTCTATCCTTATTCTTTTGTTGTTAAGGACTTGGCAACGAGGAGAGTCATTCTTAGAGGAAAGTGTGAGGGAGGTCTCTACCCACTCATATCATCAGTTTCTTCATCATGTTCCAATAAACAAGCATGGAGTGTTACCACACCATCTTTGGCAAAGTGGCATCGTCGCTTGGGTCATCCCTCTTCAACCATCGTTCAGCATGTTCTTAGTAGAAATAAACTTCCTTATGAGTCTAGTGTTGAGTCAGTTTGTGATGCGTGTCAACAAGCTAAGAGTCATCAATTACCATATCCTATCTCTACTAGTGTATCTACTGCTCCTTTGCAACTTATTTTTTCAGATGTGTGGGGACCAGCCCCTACATCAGTCGGTAGATTCTCATACTATGTAAGCTTTATTGATGATTATAGTAAATTTACTTGGATTTATTTGCTAAAGAAAAGATCCGATGTATTCCAAGTCTTTACAAATTTCCAAAATCTTGTTGAACGCCAATTAAACTCCAAAATCCTTGCTATGCAAACAGATTGGGGTGGTGAGTATGAAAAACTCAATTCCTTTTTTCAAAAAATTGGAATTTCACATCATGTCTCCTGTCCACATGCTCACCAACAGAACGGCTCTGCTGAGTGAAAACACCGTCATGTTGTCGAAGTAGGACTTGCATTGTTAGCTCATGCGTCTATGCCTCTTAAATTTTGGGATGAAGCCTTTCTTACTGCCACATATCTTATTAATATTCATCCTAGCAAAGTTATCAAATTTGAGAACCCTATCACACGTCTTTTTGGTGTCACTCCAGATTACACATCTCTTCGTATTTTTGGTTGCGCTTGTTGGCCGAATCTTAGACCCTATAATACACGCAAACTTGCGTTTCGTTCAAAAAAATGTGTCTTTTTAGGATACAGTCCCATGCACAAAGGGGTTAAGTGTCTTGATGTCTCTACCGGTAGGGTCTATATCTCGAGAGATGTCATCTTTGATGAATCTGTATTCCCTTTCGAGTCTCTTCATCCAAATGCCGGCGCTCTCCTTCGAAAAGAAATATTGCTTCTACCGGATTTTGATCAAGGGGGTGATAACAGTTGTGCTAACCAAATTGATGAAAATATTCCTGCCTCTACTCCTACTGTTATGCCTATGCAGGTACCTGAAGAAAATTTGGTTCAAAATGATCAAAATCAGGCGTTATTTCATGTGAATGAGGAAGAAGAAGCTGGCGCAGACATCGAGGCAGATCCGGCGGCACCTGCTACACCTGTGCGCTCGATCGCCTTGGATCACTCACGCGGATCTACCTCGGATCCCGCCTCGCCCAATAGCAGCAGCGGACGGGCCAACCAGGTGACAGCGACCGCAGCGGGCCGCTCCGTTGGTGGGAGTGCGCGGGCCACGCGCGTGCAGCCCAGGACAACGACGGGCTTGACAGCGACAGAGCGCATGCAACCAATGGGCGTCTGTGCAGATTGCATGCACCCGACAGCAGCAGCAGGATCTTCTGCAGGTAGAAATATTGTGGCCCAGGATAGCTCCATCTCAGGGTCCACCACACCGATGACTACAGGATCTGCTGCATCTACCCAGTCTGCACATGTGGAAGGATCGCCTGGATCTTCTGTGGATAGTCAGATTGTGCCGTTTTCTGTGCAACCACAGCAACAACCTGCCACTACTTCAAGGGTTATGACCCGTTTGCAAAAAGGTATTAGAAATCCAAAAATACAGAAGGATGGCACTATACCATATGGCATGTTGTGTATTTCAGGTGAACCAGCAAAATTGAGTGATGCACTTGGAGATCCTAAATGGAAAAAGGCTATGGATGACGAATATGGTGCTCTCATGAAGAATAAAACATGGCATTTGGTGTCGGGCCAAAGAGGTAAAAATATCATTGATTGCAAGTGGGTTTATAGAATTAAGAGGAAAGCAGATGGCTCTATTGATAGGTATAAGGCACGTCTAGTTGCAAAAGGATTTAAGCAACGGTATGGTATTGATTACGAGGATACTTTTAGTCCTGTTGTGAAAGCTGCTACCATAAGACTCGTGCTAGCCATTGCTGTTTCTAGGGGATGGAGCCTTAGACAGCTAGATGTTCAGAACGCGTTTTTGCATGGTGTTCTGGAAGAGGAGGTCTATATGAGGCAACCACCAGGGTATGAAAATCAACAAGCACCACACTATGTTTGCAAACTTGACAAAGCTTTTTATGGTCTGAAACAGTCTCCTAGAGCATGGTTCTCAAGGCTGAGCTTGCAATTGAAGAGTCTTGGTTTTGTTGCATCCAAGGCTGACACGTCCCTCTTCATTTATAGCAAA